CATTTTTTTTAAAAGATTTTATTTATTTATTTGAGAGAGAATGAGTGAGAGAGAGCATGAGAGAGGAGAAGGTCAGAGGGAGAAGCAGACTCCCCAAGGAGCTGGGAGCCCGATGCGGGACTCGATTCTGGAAGTCCGGGATCGTGACCTGAACTGAAGGCAGTCACTCAACCCACTGAGCCACCCAGGAGCCCGCTAGCACATTTTAAAGATAAACTCCACATTTTCGGAGAAGTAAAACTGAAAAAGAAATGGCGTATCATGAATGTACCTGCTGAGCTAATGCCATTTCTTTTTTTTATAGTGTTCCTGGACTAGTAAGCCAGAAAATGCCATAGAGTGCACCAGGATTTCAACAAGGCTTTGACAGAGTAATATTGATAAAGATATAGATATAGATACAGATATCAATATATAGATATATCTATGTATCTATATCTATATTAGACGAAATGAAGAAATGTGGACAGAGTAAGAGTGTGTACTTTTTCAGTTAGACAACCATGTTCAAAGAGGGCTGATGAAGAATTGTTTTCCAGCTTAGACGGGGTTCTAGAAAGTGCTTGCCACAGAGCTTTGTTTCTGGTTCAGTCCTTGGTGGGAGAAGCTGATATCATTTGTTCTTAAAGCTCCATAAGTGATTCCAATGCACAACCAAGGAGTAGACCCACTGTTACAAGGTCAGTGGTTCACATAATACACTGCTCGTTTGAGCATTCAGATGTTTCTTATTAATACCAGGAACTGTCTTCCAAATAGCCAGTGCTTGCTACCATTTCATCGATGCTTAAAGCAAGGGCTGAAAGACAACCCTGAATGTTCATTTCAAGTAGGGTGAAGGTTTGGAAAAGTACACATAGAAAAGGGATCCACCCACAGTCCAGTAGGGACTTCAATTGGATGTCACTGAGACATTTCACAAATGTCAGATTCCATCAAAACCCATTGACAAGAACAGCCCAATTACCTGTGAATACAAAGTTCATAAAGAGACACTCTTTTGGTGCTGAAAAAAACAAATCAAAGATTTGTTTTATCTAGATGATTGTTCCTCTTTACTTAGAATCAGGTCATTATAATCACAGGTTTTAGAGTTCATATCTCAAATCGACAAAAAAAAGTTGGGAAGATGAGCAGAATGCTAACACTGATTTGTATATCCACAGGGGACTTTTGATTTTGATTGATCACTTTTGCAAACAGAAAGAACAAGGCACTTTATTATTGGAGACCACACTAAAAATGTCCATGGGTCGCAGAACATGTTCAAGGCCAATTATGTTGAATGCAAAGACTTCAGGCAGTGGGGAACGGTAAGAAGCTTGTCTCCTTTCTGTCTCTGGAAGGGTACCAACCTCATAACATCAGGACAGTTAATAACTCTATGACCTTTAAAAGGCATTTTATGAGCAAATTAGGTCAATTAGCACTGAACAATTTACATTAAAAATATCCCAACCACTTTGTAACTAGGGGGGGAGTAGCTAATTCCTTGCATCAGTGATATGTTAACTGGCAACATTCACAAAGGGCTTGCTCTGTTTCAACAGACACAACAAAGACACATGCAAAAAACCCAAATGAAAGGTGAATAGCCTTCAAACATATAGCCCGTCTTCACCTTTAACCTGTTCCGTTCAGTGTTATCTGTTCATTGTAATTTTACGGGACTCTGCAGAGCCCTCTGCTCTTTGCAGTGATCAGAGTGTAGCCAGAGTGAAGGGGAAGTTTTTGCAGAAGTGGGGAGTCCAGTCTCCCTTTATGAATGTGTAAAAAGCACTCTATGGATCATTTCTCACCTTCCTATTCGTATAATCTCTCTCTGCACACACAAACACACACAATACATATACACATATTTCCTACAATGAGCTAGACAGTGTGCTAAGTGATTTACATGTATTATTGTATTTAATTTTCACAGTAACTCTGCAAGACAGGTATTATCCTCATTTTACACAAAAGAAACAGGTTTATAAAAGTTTCAAGTGACTTGCTGAAAGTCCCTACAAGAGCTTGTAGGCTGTGAAGCCAGGACACGCCAGATCTACCTGACTACAGGGGCGGAATTTTTTCATGACAACATGCTACCCTCTATTCTACCCACGCTGGCTTCCTTCCACTTAATTCCTTCTTTCCTCCTCAAAGCCCAAAGGGGTGGATGGGTGGATGGTAGTATTGGAAGGATTTCAGAGAAAGAAGGACTAACCTACCTCTCTTTTCTACCTCTCCCGAAGCTCTGCAATTTTCCAATCCTCCACACATAGCCTGGCCATTAGGATCCAAGAAAATACAGGCTCCTTACGAGCTCCTGTTAGATCTTTTTCTCTCCAACCCCTCTATGGTTTCGGTGACTACATTTTTTTAAATCCCAAATAAGGGCATACGGCCTGAGTTGCTGTGTTGTCTTTAAGCGAACACGAGGGCAATATATCTGAAATCAAAACTAAGAAAGTATTTGTGGTGCCTAGCAGAGAGTGAGAGGGCTGGCTCAATATGGACCTGTTGATTGACTGAGTCATTGGAGGCTGATCACACACAGAGAGTAATGAGCAAAGTTAGTCCAAGTCCTTATCAGTGGAATTCAACAGGGTGGTCTTTCTGACAGGTCTTTTTGTTATAGCCTTAATGTAGGCTTCCTGAACCTGGTGGCTTGTTGTCTGCAAGTACTTGTTTAGCTACAAGGCTGTGGATTCTAAGAGACAAGCTGTTCATTATGAGTTCTAATCCTAGGCTAGAAGATGCCTATAAAGATTAAAACTTGTTTCCTTTTTTTCTAACAATTAATGGCCCCGCTAAAGAGTGATCAATTGTAATTGGGGAACTGAAGAAGGTAATAAATGCATTACTGAGACCAGTTGCTTTACAGCGCCATTTATTTAATCCTCAAATTTTGCAGGTTGTAAATTACTCATTAGAAGACAGAAAGCAAAATAGCTATAATCCGTTTAGTGCCTCCAAACTCTGAAGACTTAGAGGAGGAAATCCGTGGAAACAAGAGGCCTGATGTGTTCTTTCACTGCTATTCCTTAATGGGCAAAGGTGGTTAAACAATAAGGATAAGCCCCAGTAATTATCCTGATGCACTTGGTCCATAGGTCAGGGGTGGGCTTGATTAAATTTATGGAGGGCCGACCCACAAACGGTGGGAAAATGCCCCTTCTCTTCCACTCAGCCCTGCAGGCAGCTAATCAATCCACACATCTCACTTCCAGATTGTTTCATGAGACCATAGCAATAGCACGGAGCATTCATTAGGGCATTCACTCCTATCTGTTGTTTCCTAATCAGTACAGGGACGAGGACAAGAGGCCGAGTGCCGGGGAGGACTTAAGAGATGGTGAGGGGAGGCTGTCCCCCACTGCATACACGGGGGGTTGCAGCTCCCAATTACAAAAGGTTCAACTATGAAAACAACCAGACAGTGAGTGTGTAGGTTGCATGACATATACAGAAAGCCACATACATTTGGCGTGAATATGGATTTTATAAGCTGACCACGCAAAGACTTCACCATTTACCAAGGCCGATTCTTTTTATACGGAGGGGAAAATTCAGTTTTAGACACAGTGGTAAGGATGCAAATAAAATGCGAGAAGCCATCAGCACTGGCATGCTTTGTGTGTTCTGGGCGTCAAATGTGAACCTGTGCATATTTCCTTTTTGGGTAATGGAATGCCCTTTAAATACGCAACACAGCTTCTGGCTCACCCTTAGGCAATGCACAACAGGAGAGCTACTGGCTCACTCCTGTGCTGAGCAAGCATCTCTTCCATACCCCTTGGCCTTTTACTCTCATGATCCATGGCTCATCTCTGAATAAAGATGGTGGGCTTAGGCTTTGAAATGGAGCTTCTCTCTTGGCGAGGTAACCTGACTACATAAGGATCAAACCTCTGTTTCCACAGGAGCTAACCTGAGTTCCCCAACGCCAACTATTTCCATTCATTTTCTACCAGACAGCCTAATTACGTTTGCAACTCCGCCATGCTGGCGCTGTGTCTATCTCGCGCTCCATTCAATACCCAGCTGCTGCTGCTCAATAAATCATTACTGACAATGAGACAAAATCTAATTTAAAAATTATAGGTGTTCTGGAAATGCATTTATTCACTTTGTTAAAGTGATTATAAAGCAAGTGTTTCCTAGATAGATCATTTAAGCATGGCATGTGATAAAAATACTTTTCTTCCCACATCTAGTTATGCTTTTTTTTTTTTAACAGCAGAAAACTGTAGTAAAGAATTTTAAAGACCCCTGCCATTAGAAATACTGATCTACAAGCACTTGGAAAACTGCTGGGACACTATAGAAGATATTGAGAATAACTCAGAATAGTTTTGAGAATCATAACTTGGAGCTTCTATGTCACTTATCCCAGGAAAGAGCCCATTCTGGCCCCTTTTGGTAGAGACAAGAAATGACACTTTGCCCTCTTCCGAGGGAGGACATACATGAGTTTTCTCCTGACTTACCCTGAGTGGATTTTCATTAAGGTAAGGGGGTTCACCTTCCACCATTTCAATTGCCATAATCCCTAGAGACCAGATATCAACTTTCGGACCATAAGCTTTTCGAGTTACAACCTCAGGTGCCATCCAGTATGGAGTTCCCACCATAGTGCTCCGTTTACTTTGTTCAGGGGTGATCTGGGCACAGAACCCAAAATCAGCTGCGGAAGAAAAGTCAGTTACAATCAATTCAATTTCTTCTTATTTTTTTCATAATAGGTCACTTTCACAAATGGCCACACCTTCTTCCGTTCGACACAGAGTTTCCATAACCCCCTAGCTCCTATCCATTATTACCAGATCCCTCCAGTGGCCCTGATTTTAAAAGGGTCTGAGATAACTGATTAACGTGATGTCATTTTTACTAGTCCTCGATCTGGTTCCCTCCCCATTACTGTCCCCTCCAACTTATAGGATCTTTCAGTTTTCTAGTTGGGTATTTGTCATTTAGCAGATGGAAGACCTGAGAAATTCTGAATGTTAAACCCTCAGAATCTGGTCATGATCTACAGGAACATGGTGTTAGAAAAAAATTTCTTTACTTCAAATGGGGCTCTAAACACTTTCAAACCAATCACATTCAATAGCCACTTTCTTCTCAGACAGGAAACAAGCAGATATCCCCTGACACTCTTTCAAATACCATCTGAACAAAAATACCTACTCAATTTAACAGAGCCATCCATCCCAAGAAGAATATTGTCACTCTTTATGTCTCTGTGGATCACTTGGTTTGAGTGTAAAAAGTCCAGCGCTTGGAGGCACTATTGAATCAGAAAAGCAAGTTCTAATTATATCACAAAGAATTTAAAACCAGGTAAGTTTCATTTTTTAGATAAACATGGGGCAAAGGTATAATTTTACATTGTCAAGTGAAATAGATTACTGTTGTCTTACCAGTTTGAAATCACGTTCCCATTTACATCAATGCTATAAGTTAGCATTACACATTATAAAAGCTCCCAAGTCAGACTAGGACATGAAGAGTGGGGATGTGATAAATAGCGGTAAATCCTTAATACAGCCAGACTAGCCAGTTAAGAATCATACTTTGACCTAGTCATCTGGAGGGTGTGGATTCGGCTTGGTCCTACATAGGCACAGTAAGACTCTGCCTCCACAGGATTTGATTCAGGAGGCCGGAAGGGGGACCCAGGAATCTGCATTGAAAACGAGGGCCCCAAGCTACCTCTAATGGACAGCCATGGTTGGGAACCACCTCTAGGTTATGAAGTAGCTATAGTCAGTTGTTGGGAAGTGGCTTCGCATCATGCACCATGGAAACTACAGGCTCAGGGTGGAAGGGTCTCCCATATATTAAAAGTTTGATTCATTGCATGAATAGAAAATACTTATGTTTGGTGGATACATCTACATGCTGGGGCTGGAGGAAATGGGGACCAGAGGAAAGCAAGGCAGGAAGAAATTTAAGTGAACAACTGAAAATAAAGAACAAAGACTAGCTGCAGTTATTTGGTTTTGTCTTCCTGTCACTGGTTTTCAAGTTTCAGTGGGTCAGAGTTCCTACTTGTGTCTGCAGACAGCCTCACCACAATGAATGGGGTAGATGGTCAGGCCCAAGATGAGATTCCAAAAAGGAGTGTGTTTTTAAGTACTGAGAAAATTATAGTAAAATGTCCTCAGTTTTACATGAAACTAGGGATATGACACTGTTATTGGATGAGAGGCAGACACTCAGACCCACTGGAGGGTTTTGGGAGACATCCAGATTGTAACGGGAAAGCAACTGCTGTCTGGGCTGAGGGAGAATCTTGCTTGAATTGCCTTCTCGAAAATGATAGGGTTGGAATGGTTTATATTTTACAAGGCTCCCATTGTATATGCAGGACAAAGTGATTATCATGTAAAAATCCTCCCAAATCAGGAAGAACTTCCATGCCGCCATTACTGTTTCCCAGGCTCGCTGAAACTACAGCATGCAGGCTTAGATGCGACACTTTGTACATGGCGTAATAGAGCTCAAAAGATCCAGAGCAAAGGGACTAAAATACACAACAGGCTGGGAAGAGAGGGGAAGGAAAGTGCTATTAGGAAAGGATCTGAATTGAAGTTAGGCTCACCATTTTCTTTTCTTTTCTTTTTTTTTTTTTTTTCATAGAAAAAATGTGCTATTGTTACTTTGGTGTTAAACGCATTCTGGATAATGAGAGATAAAGAACTGCCAGTTCTGGTGATCTCATCAGCTAGAAATGCTCTATTTTCTTACCTCTCTGCAGACAGCTGCTATCTGGCCTTCATCCATACAGGTCTCTGTGACCACATCAGTCAGAGAGCCACCAGCCAAATACTCCATGACTACCCATAGTTCATCACCCACTAAGTAGCTACAAGAAGAGAAGAAAAAGACATTGACTCAGGCCTAAGGAAGTGGGGACTTGTCTATATTCCCATTAAGAAGGTAGTTTGCAGGTAGTGTCTGCATTTGGCCATATTCTATAATGGGAGGAAAATATCAATGACTGGGATAAGAGGAAACTTCCCTAGCATTACAAGAGAATATGCAGGAAAATCAAAGGATCATCAGATCTCACTGTGTGCCATGGAAGAAGGAAATGAACCAGAAGTCCTCTGGTGACTGACTACTGGCAGTCATTCCACTGTAAAAGCTACTTTCATTGAACAGGATCAGTGACTAGCCATTTTGGTAACTTGAGCCATTGTGTTGATGTCTTGGACTGAACTGGACCATGGCACAGAGATATATAAAAGATATTTATTCATATCCAGCATTATTTTTGATTCTACTGAATTATTTTCGAGCAGTATTGGAATCAAAGAGACTCATGTTTGCAAAGGATTTACTGTGCTGAGGTCTCGGTCCTATTAGAAGTTAGTAGCAATGTGCCCATTTTCTTTAGTTTTTGAGAGAACACACAACAAGTGATCAAACATGGGGAGGAAGGTCATCAAAGTCTGACCACTGGACCAATTCAAAACATCTGGAACCACTTGAAGGCACATTAGCAGCCAGGCTCAGCAAGAGAACAGAATGACCCCAACAATTCCATCCTGCCCTAAGTTCCACATCAGTATGAAGCAAGACTTTGAATTCAGTGGCGCTCCAACTGCAATGCCCGTGAGAGTCATCTGGGAAGCCTATTAAAAATGAACATTCACAGGCTCTACCTCATTAGGAAAGAAAGCCTCTGAGAAATTTACATTTTTTTTCTTTTGCAAAGGCAATTTTTACAAAATTAAAAAAGCAGAGTCGAGTCACTTTACTGCAGATAGCCCATAAGTGGCATTTTATGAAGCTCAGGTTTCGGCTGTAAAATCTGATTCCTTTTTTTTTTTTCCTCCCTCTTCCCCCTCTTTCTCTGGTCCACCTGGCACAAAACACAGAAAGCAAGATTTTAAGCTCACTGAGGTTGGAGACCTCATCTTATTTCCTTTATATCCCCCCAGAGTACACAGCACAGTGGTGCTAAGCAAACACTTACTGAAATTGAATGAAACACGATGTTAACCACAAGCAAAGAGTTAGAGCTGTCTTTAAACGCCTATTTATAACCCGCTGCTAATACCACTGATGAAAGAGACATTAATTACCTGGTCCAAGAAAAAGGCTTGAGATTAAAGTCTCAATTCCCTAGACCTCACTGTCAGCTAATCACAAAGCACCCATTAAAGTGGGGCCGCTGCAGCCAGCCCTCTTCACTCAGACACCCAGAGATGGCACTCCCTCCAAACACTTGGTGAAATGTTTAAAACACCGCGGCTCTCCCCTGTGCGCAACAGTCTATTTCCTGTCAATGTGGAGTCACGATCCTCGAAAGGAAATTACACACACTGCTCACGCTTAGAAGCAGGACCATAAAGTGTGTCTTCCAATGTTTGATGGGTGGGCAAAGTTCAGCAATAGATGTGAGGCTCCCTATTCCGTAGCACTTGAGAAGTATTTGTAGAAGGGTTGCTACATGACTAGATTCTAAACAAAATACTTGGCCAAGCAAACGACATCGCATTAAGAAAACCGGTACGTAATGAGAGAAAACACTTACCTATCTAAATAATTAACAATATTGGGGTTCTTATTTTCCCTCATGACCAGAATTTCATTAATAATTAATTCCTTTTTGGGCTGCTGTTGAAGGTTCATCTGCTTTATGGCCACCTGAAGGATGATTGAAATGCAAGAATGAGTTACAGTCATTACACATACACAGCCATTGTTTTTGGGGGGAGGGAGTTGGTTTTGGGTTTATTTATTTATTTATTTTTTGGCTTGGGATTTTTGTTTTGTTTTGTTTTGTTTTTTGTTTTTTGTACACAGGGTAAGGAATAAATATTCTTTATCTTCCTAGGCTCTTTCTTAGCACCGCAAACTCATGCTCTTTTCTTTGGTCAGTCAGGAGCAAATCACCCACTTCAGAAACTTTGGACACTGATGAAATCGAGTCCCACGTCAACCCAGTGCCACCCATTCTGTCAGGACAGAAGAAGAGATGTGATCGTTATGAATGAAAGGACAGTAAAAATCAGGGTTGAATGTGAGCACTCACCTCTTGTCCAGTGGCAATGTCCAGCGCTGTGTACACTGTACCTGATGCCCTGCGAAGGTGAAAGTTATCAAATGAATAAGCAATCCAAATGTTATCTGTATATTTTATTTGAAATAAGATGTAATTATTTCTAGGAGAGGGAAATCGGCAAGCTTAAGATACAAGGATGAAATAACAAAGGAACAACCCCTTTCTGTGGTAATTCCACCTGAGATAGCTTCAGTGTATCCCTTTTGGTGGGCTAGGAACTCCAGTCAGACCTTCTGCAGCCATGAACTGAGCAAAATAGCCTGGATGCTGCAACAACTGCAGTCCTCTGAATAAATTGAAGTACTGTTTAGGAAAGAATGTATCATCCCTAGGTGGCTCAGTCAGTGCAGTGTCTGCCTTCAGATCAAGTCATGATCCCAGGGTCCAGGGATCAAGCCCCACATCAGGCTCCCGGCTTAGTGGGGAGTCTGCCTCTGCCTTTTCTTCTGTGTACTCCCTCTTAAATAAATAAATAAATAATCTTAAAAAAAAGAATATTTTATATTTTCACTTAACAAATCAATCACACTCGGTGCTGTATTTACCTACTGCTGTCACTGCACAGAGCAATGAACAACATGGCTTTACTGTTTTTTTTCCCCCTGTTTTTCTAAACTTTTCAGCAGCTTCTACTAAAAGGTTTCCTTCCAGTCCACAATCCTTTAAAAATCTATCATTCCTTAGGCCTTGGAAGGACTCACGCTTCATTCTAACCTCACTTATATGGGTCCTTTGTTGTGCAAATAGCAATTGTCTGGTGAGGCTGAAGTCACAGTAAGGTTCTGTGAAACACACAGGTACTCCAAACCACCTCCCCACCTCCATCCCCAAGCAAAAGGAAAGGTCTCGTCAATTCCATTGAGCTGTTTGTGGTGAATAAAGGTATAAGGATGGAGATGAGTCCTTATGATTCACCAGACATTATAATGTTCCAATATTGCTACTCAAAATTTCTAGAAACAGTGTGCAGCGTTGGTGGTATAGTGGTGAGCATAGCTGCCTTCCACAATTTCTAGAAACAACTTCTATTGTTTCTTCTTTGCTCTCCATTTATCTCTTGCTACTTTGTTATCTGGGTCCAGGAATTCTTTTCTTTCTTTTGTTTGTTTAATGATTTATTTGCTTATTTATTTCGGGGGTGGGCAGAGGGAGAGAGAGAGAACCTCAAGCAGACTCTGCACTGAGCACAGAGCCTGACATGGGGCTCTATCCCATGACCCTGAGATCGTGACCTGATCTGAAATCAAGAGCTGAATGCTTAATTGACTGAACCAATCAGGAGCCCCTTGAATTCTTTTCTTTTGTCAGCCATTTCTTTGCCATTCTTCTCCCTCCTTCTTGGATGAAGCAAAATATTTCTCACAAGCCTAGGAGGTTTACATTACCTGCTCCAAAGGAACAAAATGAGTGGGGCGGTATGAGGAATATTTGACTATTAAAAGAGATCTGAGTTCTAATATTTGTCCTAACATCAACAAGTTGTGCGATCTTGGGCTAGTCACTTCCCCTCTCTGGGTTTCAGTCCCCTTGACTCAGAAAATAGTGATCACAATAACAGTAAAATATATTGAGTCTGTTAGACACTGCACTGAGAACTTCATATAAATCACCTATGTAATCCTTACCATATTTCTATAAAGCAACCGCTACTACCCCACATTACCTATGAAGAAACTGAGGCTCAGAGAGATTAAGTGACCTGCCTTAGGTTAAACAGTTTACAATCTAAGTCTGTCTGACTCTCTGACCGGTAAAATATAGCACATGGGCCACTTTATTTCTAAGGTTCTTTATTTTTTAATAAAAAAAAATAAGGCTTTTTCCATAAGCTCCACACCCAACATGGGGCTTGAGATCAAGCTGAGATCAAAAGTCCCATGCTCCACCAACTGAGCCAGTCAGGCACTCCGATTTCTAAGGTTCTTTAAGTCCATGATGTACAAGCTACAAATTCCACTGCTTTCTTTGTTCTGGATAGGTATTTAAATATCCATTGGAACTAGACTAAAAAAAACCGCCCTCACTCCATAGGTGCCTCCTAAAGCAGGGCTTGCAAGTTTCAGAAATTCCTCAGGGTTGAAGCTTATGTTAATTCAGTTTCCCAATTTTGTATGTTTGAGACTTGGGGCTCAGAGCACGTGGTTGTGGCTCATTAAGTATTTGCTGAACGAACAAATTAATAAAAGTCTTTTCAAGCAAACATGCGATTGCAATAAAACCTTTCCTTCTATGAAGGAAATGTGTCATCTTCTACTTAAATCAACATAAAAACACTTCCTGCTTAGAATAAGCTCTCAGACATTCCTGATTGGTCCTTTTGAACTCAGGATCTCCTGGGCTCAAAGGAACAGATAATTGGACCCCACGTGTGCTTCAGCTGCAACTGTCTAACTCTGCAGAGTTAGATTCTTAACTGCTTTAACTTTGTGTATTCTTATATATGTAGGCTACTCATACATTTCCGCCAGCCGCTGAAAAAGAGATAGTATCTGCAAAATGAGATAATAGCATCTACCCCATGGGACCCCAGAGAATCAAATGGCACAATCTGTAGCATTTAGCCCTGGGCCCAGATCTGAGCTGAGAATCGACATGGGAAATGCTATTATCATTTGTTGCTGCTGCTGTTACTGGTTTCTTGGTAGTGAATGCCTAATTTACTAGGTGTTAGTTGGTCCTTCCCAATCTCCCAGTCAAACATCCTTGATTGTGTCTGTCCCTCTTTTCAAAAAGGCCAAAAGCCGAAGGGGTCACCTTTTAGAGGTTCCACATCCTCTTCTTTCCCCTAGTGGTTTTGCTTTTTTCTTTCAGTTTGGAATGCCTTTACTGAAAAAGACTGTATACAAAAACCCTCCATATAAAATGGCAGCTGCTCCAGTTAAAGCTAGGGAGGTAGGCCCCAAATTCCTGCTTCGGTGGCCTCCCCCTTAATCATCCCCCACCCAATCTCCAACCACCAATCCCATTTCCACTGTCCCAGGGGCTAAAATTGTGATTGACTTGGAGTGCAGAGGGGATTAGTGTTTAACATCTCCAGAGATTTACCTTTCAAATCCTTGGGTTTATGGCCCCCAACATCCCTCAGCATTTCATTGTCTTGAACTGCTAGAGTCCTAACCCTGGAATCCCAATATCCTGGGTTTTGTGACATTCTGTGGTATAGAATTGCCACAAATCCCTACTCCACAAAGGTTTAAAGGCCCTGAAATTCTAGTAGAACATCAGTTATTAACTCAAAAATTAGCTTTTCTCCTCACTCTCCCTTCCCCTGCCTTATCATATATATGTAACTGTCTAGTGGGAGCCATTTTCCCCTTCTTCAACTCCTATTCCCAGCCTTAAAATGGTGATATCATCCTCTACTCCACTTCCTAACCCCCATCCCAACCAAACAGGTTAGGCACTTGGAATTCACCACTCTGACCAGCAAGGTATTGGTTGGTCCAACTTCTAGCCTTCACACAATCCTCAGCTCAAATGCACAAACTTGGGGACCAACCTGCAGAGCACACTGTCTCCAACTCTATCTTTGCAACTCAAATGTTTTTCCACACCACAGCTCTGAATCCTTCTCATATTCTAACAATTTAAGATAACTGTCAATGCCTGTCCTTCTCTTATTCATTTACCAAAGCACTCTTTGCCCACTAATAGGTTATATGAACAGTAGTCCTCACCCCCAACTCCTCAAACCTTCCAGGGTTAAAGTCCCATGAGTTCCTAGTTGTGTGACCCTGGGTAAGTAATTTTACCTCTCTGTGGCTCAGGAATAAAGGATTAAATGCATATAGTGGTTAAAGACAGGTCTGGTATACACATCGCCAATACACATTGGCAATAACAACCACCATCATCATCATCCACAGACTATAATTTGAGAGGTTAATGCATATATTAGAGAACAGTCACCCTTAATAATAACTTATATAACCGTAAGTATTATTGGGTTGACTGTTCCCTAATATATGCACTAAGCTCCCAAAGTGTAGTCTGTGGCTCACTAGGAATCTCTTTTAAGCATCTGGAAGTTTCCAAGATACCTGATTTCTAAATTCTTAACAGAAGTTTTACATTTACCTAAGGCAGAGCTAATTAAAATACCACATACATTTCTTTTTAGCCAGAAAGATACCAACTTTTGATTACATGGCATAGCTCACTGATCAGAAGCTCCAAGTAGTGGTTAAACACTCTTTGCTTCACTGAGTTTGAGAAACAAGCTATTATTTATATTAATAAATATAGCTTAATAGTTGTAATTATTCATAACCCGGAATTCATAAAGACAAATAATTGAAAAGATCCTTGGTGGTGAAGCTGGGAAACCCTCTCCTTGTAATAAGTGAAACACAGTGGTGTCTACTTCTAAAGAAATGATCTTTGAGCCAACAACATGTCACACTGATTCCCCCAAAACTGGGCCTTGTGACTGCCTGGGATATGTCAAAGGATCTTAATGACTATCTTTACAAAATTAATCAATCACTTTAATTAAAAAATCAGTATCATGCAGCACTTTAGGACGTAAGGATGGCAGGAATCAAACTCAAAACTGTGAAAGTTAAAACTCCCAATTCTCTAGTAGATTGGGCTGGTGTGTTAAAATGGTCAACGTTGTTGATTTGATTTTTATGCCACTTAATTATATTGATCTCTATTATCTCTCCATTCCAGTTCTATTGAAGCTAAATTGCTGTGGGGGAGAATACTTGTTTATTCCAGACCTCAGTCACTCTGATGGTATAAAGAAATGCCTTACTGGGACTCCAGGAAAAACAGAGATCATCCAGTTTAACCTCATTACAGATGAGACATCTGAAGCCAAGAGAAGATGGGGAATGTGCCCCAAGTTCACACAGCTAGTAAGTAACAAAGCCTCCTAATTTTGAGCGAGAGATATTTCAGTGGACCTATGCTACGGTTCAAGAATATTAAACCAAGAGATTGCTCAACTGTTGGGCCTCATCGTCAATTACAGTTCTTGGCATCACATTAGATTCTTTATCAACAATTTCTTCT